CCGCCTAGCAAATGGGAAGCAGTGCTTGACGTAGATGGTGGATATGTTAGGAGCAATTATTTGAACATGTCTTTGCTAGATATTCCTTTCGTTTCTTCGAGTAAAATTTGCTGAAAAAAATCCGCAATAATTATGCATCAACCTAATGTAAGGAGTAGACGTCAGCGCAGTAGCTTGTGGACGAAGTGTTCTACTGTGAGCAAAGTTATGGGCATTTGGGCCGGCAGTGCGATTCGTTAACTCCGAATCGAATGAAACGAACGGATAATAGTATACAACCCGAATTTCACCTTCTGGATGTGGTGCTCGGGAGTTTGTTGCGGATATGTTCTTACTGTTGTGCTTCGCGAGGAGTCGTTTTGAGACTTTTCCTAGCTATCATAATTCTTCTGAACATTGGCGTTGCAGCGTTCGGGTATCGAGCAGCACGGTCATCATGAAGAAACAAAAATTTGGTGAGGGCGTTGTTAGGCTTGAAACATGTTGTCATCGGATATGAGATGGCCTATTTTATTTACTGTCGGTTTCTGATCGGTTGACAACAGCATCTGAGCGCCTATCTCGAAGCATTTGATAAGTTTTGCTATTATTGGGACCTGCATGTTTGTCCCATTCCCACATGCCTCTGTAGAGCTTGTCTTCAAGGAAGACTTGCTGCCGTTAGGTCGGTGGGTCTCAATGACAGGTTCTTACTCGATTCGTAGCCTTTTCCCTTGTACTCAACTTGCTTTTTCCATATTCTACAAGGGCCTGCAGTCAGGGTCTACTACCTTTGATCATGCTATCTTTTGTTTCCGATAGGTTCAAGAGTGAGGTTTACATTTGTCGTTGTCATCAGTCTGGACTGGAATGATAAATGAGCGGTAGAGGGTATGAAATCGAGAGGATGTAGTAATGGAGTGAATTTCTTCTGTCATTCAACATATGTGAGTTTCTGTGATCACGAATAACTTCTATTTCTTTCGTCAATGTGAGGCTACATAGTCCATGGGCAGCTTTCGATTCGACAGTTTTGATGGAAGTAGATCCGATGATAACACTCGCTTCCACTCTGTCATTTGTTGGTAACTTGCCTTGTTGCGTTGCAGCTTCTCCTCAGTCCTCACTTTTCAAAGTAGAGCAGCACAC